GGATAAAGACGTCATGGAAATAATTGGCTGAGCTCTGTTTTCCAGGGTGGCTACAATTTCCATTTCTATTTTGAACAAAATCTTCACTGTTTGAAATTGGCACAGTTGAACCTATGGGATGCAAATTCTGCTTTATTGGTAATTTTTTTTTTATGCATACATTTAAGTTAATTTAATTTTGAACATCTAGTGCTATAAGACAACTGGCATGTCAAAATGAATTATAGCAGCTTCATCCGAAATTGTGAAATACAATGTTGATATTCAGTCTAATCTTTGTTTTGATGAACTCATAGAGGTCAATGTACATGAACAAGAACTATGAGTTTACTGGGGTTGTATCTATTCTTCATAGTGATAACAAAAATCAAGCACTGTTTACAGAACAGAGCCCTTGACTATTTATTTAATGCAACAACATATAGCTGAGGTGAAAGAAAGTGTGTGTTTTAGCGTAGCTACTGCGGTTCACTTCATCATCTTGACAAGCACATTTATAGGAGTCATTGGTTAGTGGGATCACTGCATGGAATGTGTTGATGCTGTACTGCATTACAGATAATGAGCTCCATTTTCATGAGACAGTGCTTGTATGAGGAGTGTGTTGAAATCCTGAGAGCATAAGCATATGACCTATCTTCATTATGCTGTCACGCTTTAGTTCCCTCTCCCACACTGTTTGATTTGTGTAGGCTGTAGCATTTCCTTCTCTGGTCCCATGTTCCCCTCTGGACCTCTTACACACAGTATACACATAGGGACGCAAAAATGGATTTGCAGTAATAAAGCCATTGATTGAGCCAAAACTTGAAGTGCTGCTTTCATAGATATTTTAACATTGTGAGTGGACTTATTTTTCGAGACAGTTAGTGAAGTGTGTATGCATCTAGGATTGCAGTTGCAAAACGATACAGATATCAAGTTGCTTAATATAATATTTTCTCAGCTTTTGGAGTAGGATTGAAAGCACAGCTAAGACAGACAATGGGAATAACAAGATACTGTAGTGTGAACATCCCACACTGATGTCCCACAGCTGCTGTTTATCTACAGTGTCTCCCACTGCACTCACTCTCTCACCAGTCCAGGACCACAGGAAGCACATCCTCTTACCAGTGTCTCTACCTCACGTTCACTACAGCTCTGCTGGAGCTGAGCAGGATATTTATAAATGACATGATCTCCTTTCCCTTTCTACCGACAGTCCCACTGAAACTCCCAGTCTCTGTGGAGTTTGAGTTGTTCTCACCACCTAATATGGACAAGCACTGTTTCAGGCTTCCTATAAAAGTTTTAGTCGTTTGTTCATTACTGGATGTTTTCTGTATAAGCACATTGGCCAGCAGGAGGTTTGAGTTGCTAAGCTAGCTGTAAGGATTTGGATCAAATGTGACTCTTCTCAGCATGTGTGATAGTCCATAATAGCCAGCAACTTCAGTCCAAATTATAAGATTCCCTTTGAGCGTAGAACAAAAAACAGGGTCCAAATCAAGCATGTACTAATACACTTTGTGCCTGCCATTACTCTGATGTTTACTTACTTGTGATTTATACTAACTTTATTAGTAAAGAGATATTCTTTAGGGATACTGTCATTTAATAGAGACTATGTTTTATTGATATGAAATTTTGTGCAGAATATTGAAGGACTTAGCCTATTCCTTTAAAAAAAGGTTAATAATAGGCTTTAGTTTTGTCACAGCCATAACCACGATTTGTTAACATAACATTTTCACTCTAGAGTGCATTTGATAGGACAAATCTCAAATTTGTTTGTAAGATTTAAATTTAGTTTTTTTGAATGTGTTGTCGCCTTTCTTTGGCTGCATCTCAGCCAAAAAGCTGTTTGAACACACCAAAAAGGACTAAAGTCGACTGGCAACTATGTGTATTCTGTGCCCGCTTGTAAGTAAATATCATTCTAAATCAGCAGGTTTCGTTGCATTTTGAATATCAATCATGCTGATCCAATGATCCAAGATGATGTAAAATTATAACAGACTTCTGTCTGAAATACTGTCTTCTTTGCTCGCTGTCATGACTTTCTCTTTTATTCTCGTGCACCATCACTAGGCTGAACAGCCAATCTGAGTTCTGTCACCGACGGCCCGAAGCCGATTCAACATGCTGAATTGGCCCCACCAAAAAAACCAAATGGTCTCTGAATAGAGCTAACAGTGAAGAACATACCTAAAAAAACTAAGCTGACTGATGCTCAAATATGGCTCCACGTTGCCCAACATACAACCATCGGCTTGGTATGTCCCTGCCTTAAGAGCTGCACATTATCGTTAAAAGATTGCAATCTTATTGCTATGGCGATTCGGTTTAAACGTTTGACAAGTACGATCTCATTCTCAACTAACATGACTAACAAAAAGAACTGGTTTGGAACTGGTGCTGGTTCAAAGTTGGTTCAACTTGTAACCACTTCACAGAACCTGTTTGTTTTTCCACTGACTAGAGAGCCCAGCGAATGACGTTGTTACGTCACTGTGTACATCACCATACGTCTTAGCTTTCTCTGAAATGCTTGCGACAACTTTAAGCATAACAATTACAATGACGGACTACATCATCTTTCTGCAAATGTTTCTCCTGACTTTGCGATCCAATATATGGGTCAGACTGTCTTTGTGTTTTTAGCAATGGCGGTCACAACCTTTCCCGCCGTGTTGTTGGTCACCCCGCCCTTAGCCCCCGACGTAAGTGTGACGTGGTAAAAGAATGGTTCTCTGCATGGTTCTAGTCCAGCAAAGAGTTGGTGCTGCTTTGGAACCAATTTTCCGGGCAGAGATCCGGTTCTTTGGCTGTTGAAACACAAAGAACTGGTTTGGGAGAAGGCCCCGTCTCTGAACCGGCTCTCAAAATGGGGTAAAAGGGGGAAAAGAGAGCAGTTCTCATTGAAACAGCTTTACGAACAGTCTTTTCAACCACACAGTAGCCTAATCATTTATTTTGTTACAGTCATCAAAATGTCACAAATGTGCTTGGTGAAAGTTTATATTTCGGAAACGGATATAAACCGTAATGTCAATGGTAGCGATCAAAGTAGAGCAAATCACCTTTTGAAAGTAACTTTACTCTTCAAATAAAGATTGTATCGATTACATCATTACGGCAGTAGGTGGCAAAAAGCAGGTTTTTAACAGGTGACTGTTAAAAATCTATTTGTTATTGAGTCATTCATTTTGTCAGAACCAAATTATGTGTTAAGAATAGAGCGTCTTGTAGTACTGCAGTGCTTTATCAATATGTTTATGCGTTATGCTAACAAACAATAACTGACTGGGTCCGTCATCTGACCAATCACCACCGATTAGCGTCACGCAAAGGAGTGGTTTGGAAAAATGAGTCGTACGAATCATTTGGGAGTCGGTGAGCAAATCAGTTAAAAATAAATGCATATTATAAGACAAATAAAGTGTTTTTTATCCTTGCATGCATGTTAAACTGTTTTTGGGAACTCCTAAAACAAAAATAGGAACATTTCAAATGCTATGATAGGGGCTCTTTAACTATAACATTTTACTAATGTGTGTCAGGAAGTGACGTGCAGCCAGCTGTTTTATAGCCCTTCCCTGCAGTGAGAGATGCATCCTGTCCTCTTCATGACAGTCCGGGTGTGTGACCATTTCATTTCCAAGAGTCTGTGAGGATATCCTGCCACACAGCTGTGTGGTCAAACACTAGTATATACGTATGTACACTCACTCTCACATACGGAGACACACTCTTGAGTGGAATCGCTCTCTGTCTGACACAGAGGGCTGTTCTGCTCAGTCAGCACACATGCACAAACACTCCAAGGTCATTTAGCTCTGTACAGTATCCATCACTCGAGCCCCTACTCAACATCTCAACCTTCTCCATCAGAGCAAAACAAACACACAGACACACACACACACCAGTTCTTACACAGTCAGCACCTGCGTCATGCGGAGAATGAACTAATAACCAAATGTAATTTTATAATATAATATCATATAAAATTAAAAGATATATTTCTTATATTACTTTATTTTTTATTATTATTTGAATATTATATAAAAAGTATGGTGTATTATATATTTCATTATTTATAATTTTATATATACACACACACACACACACACACATATATATATATATATATATATATATACATACATACATACATACACAAATGTTATAAATTAATTATGAGCTCCTGTTCACAGTCTTTTATGTTTATCGCAACAATATCATGTTTAGACCTGGAAACAGCTTTACAGACTGAGGAAGACTTTGACAACACACATGTTTGTTTGTGTACTGCATTGATGCTAATTTCATAGTATTTTTTCTCCAGTTTTTATCAGCGACAGGATTTTATCTGTGAGAGTCCAATGGCATAAGCAAATCAAACTTAAACACACATTGATCATTCAAACATGCACAATGAGAACAAATTCACAGTGTGATCCACATTTATATTAAGCCTAAATTGGGCTACTTTTTAAATGTCATCCTGACTCAATCCCTTCAAACTTCATCCTATATCCATTTTTTTACTTGAATTCACCCTATATCCCTTTTCACCTTCTTTTATTATTAGTCCTTCACTCTTTTCTTCTTTTTATGCATACTGTAGTTTGTAAAAAAGCACAGCTCAGGCTTAATGCAGGACAGCACTGGATTAAGAGCTTCCCTTCGTAATCAGTCTGCTAAAGACACACACACACACACACACACACACAAACACACAAACATGCCTCACCCAGCAAAGACCCACTGCCCTACTGCGGGACAGGCACTTGCATATTAAACACACACAGGGATCCAGTTGGACAAATGCACATAGAAGTTTGTACCACACATCAAATCCTGCAGGTATAAGATTCACCTGCATAAACACACACACACACCACCTGTCCGGCACTGCAGCACACTACAGTCACAGATTCAGCAGAACATCCCACTGCAGTGAAGCCCAAACCCAGCAGCCCCTCCCAGCCTCACAAGCTCCAGCACACACTTACCTTTGTGACAGTCATGCAGAGAAGAGTGCAGAAGAGTCAGCTTCTGTTCCTGAAATGCTGAGTGAGACAGCAGGACAGAGAGAGAGAGAGAGAGAGAGAGAGAGATGGACACACTGAGTGTGTGCAGTCTGCAGCCTTTACGACAGCAGAGTGAGACACGAGAGATTGTGAAAGAGGAGAAGAAGAGAGAGAGAGAGGGAGGGAGGGTCTGGTCGCTGTCTCTCGCTGAGTATCCGAGCCTATCAGTGCCTCCGCAGCCGTGCTCCTGGATACTGCAGTGATGAAGTGAGCTCAGCATGTTACTACTACCCCCCCCCCCCCTCTCTCTCTCTCTCTTTCTCTCTCTTTCCATGCTGTCAATCGAATTACTGCATGTGCTAATGAAGATTATTGATGTCCACAAACGCATCACCCTGTTCTAATATGTCATAACCTTATTAGCTCTCTGTATACAACATGCTGTATATTCAAACTCTCTCCCTCTCTCTCTATTGTATCTAGGCCCACTACAATAAAAATGTTGTAACTTGGCTGCTAATTAAAATTCAGAAAGCAATCAAAATGACAGAGACTCTGAAATCTTGAAAACTTGAAATCTTGTTTATTAATACACAAACTAGTGTTTTGGAGGAATGTTTGATGAGATACATACATTTAGAAAAATATCAGTTGCTTACTTATAATGCATATGCTTTTAAAAAAGAGAAGCATAAAGAGCTAGAAAAACTATTTTAATAGGCTACATCATATGACTGTTGCAGGAGATCCATGACTGAGAAAAAATTTAGGAGGAACTGAGGTTTTTTATGTTCTGCTGCCCTCTTGTGGGCTTAAGAAATATTACATCACTAATTACATTTATTGAACAATAGATTTAAAGGGGTAGTTCACCCAGGCCCTGGAAAGCTTTTCCACTTTCGAGCACTTCCTGAGGTAGTCCAAAGCGCATTTGACCTGATTGCTTTCGTAGTGTAAAACGCTTGGTCGAATGCGTTCCAACAGCCACAAAAGATGACCTACTGACCTATGTAAACCAGGGGTGGGGGGAACGTTGATCCTAGAGGGCCACTGTCCTGCTGAGTTTAGCTCCAACCCTGAAAAAAACATTCAGCTGCCTGTAACTTTAGTAATCCTGAAGACCTTGATTAGCTTCAGGAGTGTTTGATTAGGGCTGGAGCTAAACTCTGCTGGACAGTGGCCCTCCAGGATCAACGTTCCCCACCCCCTGATGTAAACATTAGGGAAAGCGCATTAGCCGGACAGGATTTAAACTTTGTTGGCCCAAGTTTGGTTTGAAGATGAAAAATATTCAAAGTGCAATGTTTCTGATTTCTAACACTCGCAGCATTCGGTGTGGTCTTGCAGCTTTCAGAGCAGAAACTAAAGCTGCTCCTTACGCTTTCATATGTAAATTGGCTTACTTCTGGCTCTTTTTACAGTATATCAGACCCTGCATGGATAGAGGGACTACTTTCAGAAGTTAGCCCCTCTTGGTAGATGCCATGATAACTGCATAATTTTTAATAAAAAAAGGGTACTTTCCTGTTATCCGGACCCCACGATGGCCTACCCCCTAACCCCGCCCCTAAACGGTAAATGGTGGGGTCCGGATAACAGGAAAGTACCAAAAAAAGTTTCAGGTTTTATTTTAATTTTCGTATTTTAAAATGTAATCTATTCATTCAATAGCAAACCTGAATTTTCAGCATTACTACTCCAGTCTTCAATGTCAAATGATCCTTCAGAAATCAGTCTAATATGCTAATTTGGAGCTCATGAAATATTTCTTATATTTATCAATGCTGAACACTATTCTGTTGCTTAATATTTTTGTGGAAACCATGATACTTTTTACCTTTTAAAGTTTAAAAGAAAACCATTTTTTTTTTTTTTTGGTAACACTTTAAAAGACTTTACTGTCTCTTTTAACCAATTTAATGTGATTAATTTCTTAAAAAAGAACAGAAAAAAAGATTGACCCAAAACTTTTCGTAGTTAAAAGTTAAAGTGATTTTTTTTTTTTTTTTTTTCTTAGTTAGTTTGAAAGTTTTTCATGGCTACTGCTAAAGCTTTTTTGAAATAGGACATTGTTTTGTCTTAAGTTAGCATAAAGGCATAGTTCACCCAAATTAAAATGACCTAAAAATGAAGATTCTGTCATCATTTACTTTACTTTACTCACCCTCGTATTGTTCCAAACCTTTATGAATTATGCAACATATAAGTAGATATTTCCATTTTTTGTAATTCAATGCAAATGGTTTGGTTACCAACATTATCTTGTGTCCCTTGCACAGAAGAAAGTCATACAGGTTTGATAACAGAACACTCATCATTTTGATGTCAGCTGTCATTTTAATATAACTATTGACTCTTAACTTGGCTAGACACATCCTAAAGTTCAGTTAAGGGTCATTATGTCTGATGTTTAGAGTAGTGAATTATTGTTTTTATAGTTAAACTGTAAATAATGTCGTTTAACATGCAGATACCATCTGCTCATTAAAACAATGAGCAAACATGACTGAGATAAGCCATTCTTTTGAACTTCAAAAAGACCTACTGGAATTATACCTACGGAGAAGCAAAGATAAGAGCACAACATGCATTGAGTATCTTATCTGCTCATGCCTGAAATTCCTCTTAATAGGCCTTTATGTGATTTTGATTGGATCTGGAAACAAATTTCTACAGGAACTTCTTGGAAGTGTTGTTTTATTATAGACAGTGATGAGTGCAGTAATAATAATAATAATAATAATTCGTTACATTTATATAGCGCTTTTCTGGACACTCAAAGCGCTTCACATAGAAGGGGGGGATCTCCTCAACCACCACCAATGTGCAGCATCCACCTGGATGATGCGACGGCAGCCATATTGCGCCAGAACGCTCACCACACACCAGCTTACTGGTGGAGAGGAGACAGTGATGAAGCCAATTGGTGTATATTGAACAATAGATTTATGTGTTCACTTAAAAATATTTTCTTTGGGTATGAATTTGTGTGTGTTCAATGCAACAGGGGACAGGATATTTCCCAGTGCTCTGTTCACTAACAGAATATAAACACTAGGGTGTAGTACACCAGAGCACATACTTACCCATGGTTATTCAAGGCAGACCCCCAATTCTGGCTCGACTGTCCACCAGATCTGTCTGCACAGAAAGTGTTACTCTAGTGGAACTTTTAATGTGCAGTTCTTTGGTTACAGCTTCCCATGTACATGACACAATGTTCCAGCTACACGCTGTCTGCACAGAAACCACTTCCCCTGAAGTCAGGGGCCAAGGGAAAAAGTAAGGGCCTCCAGGAAGGAGACAGGAGAGTAGCTGATGGGTTGAGGGCTTTGTGGAACACAAACTAAAGGAATAAGGTGTGTAATATGGAAAATTATAGTTAAACTTCAAAGTATTAAAGCGATAGTTCTTTGGTTACAGGGTGAGTAGATGATGTCAGAAGTGTCATTTTTCGGTGAACTATAGCCATTTAAATGGGGTCCGTTGTGAAAAAGTATTATACTTTAGTATACCTTTACCCCCGGTTTCACTGACATGGCTTAACTGAAAGTAACTTGCACTGACATTTTAAATATGTTAGTGTCTTTGTTTTGTCTCAAGATGCACATCAGTTAAGTTTTTTTTTTTTTTTTTTTTTCCTTGGGCATGAACTAAGGCCTAATCCTGGCTTATTCTAAACCCTACAGTATCTGTGCAACTGGGCCTTATAGAGTTCTTATTACAGAAATAATATACTTTTAAAGAAATATATGTTAGTAAAAACTGAATGTTAGATACTTAATAGCATGTCTGATTGCAATTAAATGAAAGTTCATTTTTAATATATGCAATTAGCTGAATTCTAGAGTGCTTTTTTGACTAACTTAAGTTGGACTTAAGTTAATTAAATACATTAATTAAAGTACATAAGTACATTAATTAAATTTACATTTCAGACATCTTCACTTTTCATTTAAACCTATAGGCTAAATCATTACATTTGAATTTTTACGATTGAACGATATTATGGCAATTATCATAAATTAAAATATGGCCAATTAGATATGCATATATTCATATGCCTGTATATAATTCATAGAATAAATGTACCTTTTATGAAGCTCTTTTACTGAGATTATGCTTTGTCTGTCAATGGTTATTTAGTTATTCAACTTATCTGTTTTTTATTCAACTTAATTTTAAATAGAATAGTTGATTTAGAAATGTGGACATTAAAACATATAAATTTTAATTAGAATATTAAGTAATTTTTTACATAGGGGGCCATCTTGCCCCTAATATTTTAACATTTTGTGCTTTGACAATTTTTACAAATGTTTCCATTTATTCCCCTAATGGTGCTGATGCATCATCATCCTGACTCTGCAAATAAACTCATATCTAAATGTGTTACAAACAATTTAAAAAGTAATGCACATTGTTCTACCCTCATCTTCCCCTACACTTATCGAATGACACATCAGAGTTAATATTACTTCTTTAAAGCATCAAAGTATAAAACATAATGATTTAAAATGTACTTTAAAATAAAACATTTAATTTGACACTATTACTACATCCACTTTTTAAAAGTAGCCTATACTTTTAAATTTAAGAAACAGTAAAAGTACAGTTAAGTGGCCTTTTATTTCATAATTAAATGATCTGCCAGTACATTTTTTTTGTAAAAGTACAAGCACACTATGTTGATATGACTGTATTAAGAACATTTGACTTAAACTTTTTTAGATAATGTTGTATTTAGCTGCAGGAGTCTTCTTTATAAGGTTGTATTCCCAACTATATAATTTTACCTATAGTGTCCAATAGATCTGCCCCTTTATTACATGACAAGTTAAAAGGAAACCATGTGACTCCACCCCCCACATCCACCCTAACTCTCTCTGCATGTTACTTTCCTCAGAGTGATACATTAAGGTTTGCATTGCACACGTGGCATTTTCCCCTCATAAAGACATTAGCCTGTTAACCCCTCACATCATTACAGGTTTACTCTGCTGAGTTACTGCCAATGCAGTCCAGAGGGTTAAGCGGCTGCCTGGAAATAGAGCCGTCTCACTAGCTGATAACTTTAAACATCATGTAAAGTTTTAAACATCATGTAACATTCTCATAAAGAATTGCAAGCTTTTGCACGTCATATTTGACTCGTTTACTCTTTCACATATGATGTAGTTTTTATATCAGTAATTGTAGTGGGAATTATAAATGATATAGGCTATAAAATTAATAAATG